AAAGTGATTAAGTATAGCAGTATACTTTCATGTTGATTTTTGCAACCTGTTTTGACTAATAATATTATAAATGGGTATCTTCGTAATTTCATTTTTATAGCTATTATTATTTCTATTTGTTAAACATGAATACCTAGGTTTGAATTTTTTAATATGTTGAGCCATCTCCTATTTTCCTTTATTCATTTATGATATATTGATATTATTTCTTTATTCAATGCCTTCTGTAGCATTTTCCAGAGTATACCATGTAACATCCGGGATCTAGAAGGTCCTTTATGGAAATAAATTTCCTTTTTGGGGCCAACTCGTCAAGTTTATGGCATAAACTCGACCTAAAATTGACGTGTTGGAAGCTTTTGGGGCGCATATTTTTAAGGACCAACTTGTCGAGTTGGTGAAGGGGAACTTGACGAGTTGGACGTTGTTTGAGAAACCATAATTTTTAGGGTGTTGCACCATATTTTAAGGCCTTATACCCTATAGGTGGCCTCCATAACAGTCTCCTTTGTCCAGAAAAACCCTAGTTCGTTCATCCTCTCCCATATTAGTGTGTGTGTGTGTGTGTGTGAGCTTGAAGAGTGATTTTTTGGTGTTGTCTTGAAGAAGCTTGAAGTTTGAGGTGGCTTGATTGAAAAGAAGGCTATAGATCCGGAACCTAATCTTTTGTTGCAGTCATTTTGAGGTATAAATTCGACACATTGCTTACCTATTTCTTAGATCTCTTTCATGGAGGTTTATTGTCATATTTGGCTCATTTTTGGGATTGTTCGTGGGTTGGGTATTTCATGAAGTTATCACTTCAGATCTGGATGTTTTATGGCCTCATTGGACTTAAGGTTACAATATTTATCAAGTTCTAAACCTCCTTCGTGCTTTAGGTCCCTTATTAAGCTTTCTTTGAGTTTAGAGCTTCATTTAGTCCTGCATGAGTGTAAAGTTGGCAACTTTACGTGGTTTTACGGCTCAAGAAAGTCATATCTATGTTTTGGAGCCATATATTAAGTGCTTAATTTGTTTAGAGGTGGTTTCTGGCGAACTCGGCGAGTTTGTTGGATAACATCGGCGAGTTGGCTTAGTTTTCCCCGATAATTTCAGTTTGATAAAGGAACTCAGCGATTTAATGGGTCAACTCGGCGAGTTGAATTGGTTTTTCCCGATCTATGCAGATTGATGGAAAAACTCGATGAGTTGAAGGATAATTCGACGAGTTGGGTCAACTTGGAACGTTGACTTTGACTTTCGATTTATGTCTTTGACCAAGTTTGTGCCGAGGGGTATTTGTGATAACTTGATTTGGATTTAAGGAAAATATGGGCTTAGGAAAAGATCCATATGGAGTTCGGCCAAATTTAGAAATTTGAGTCATTAGTGGGCCTTTGTGGATCTTTTGGTTTTAGGCCTCATTTTTGGTGCATGTTGGGTCAGGAGTAAATGGTTATTTAACCCTAAGTATGGATTATGGATTATGGCATGGAACCAAATTTCTAATTGGGTGTGATGTTAGAATTGATAGCTCGGAAGCTGGCGGGACAACAACTAGGGATTTCTTTCAGGGAGCTTTTGCATTCGAGGTGAGTTTTCCTCACTATACTTATGGGTCGAAGGCACCAAGGTCGGCCCTTTGGATTGTTATCTTGGTTTATCTTATGCTTGTATGTTGTAGTAATAGGTGAGATTGGTATCCTGGTCGATAGGATGTTGCCATGTTGTAGTGATCTGGTAGATCGGTATGCTTGTAACATCCATAAAAATCATGCTAAATTTGAACTTTTTCAAAACATTTCAAAACCCTTAATTATTACAAAACTTGTTTTCAATATAGTTTAATATCAGAGTATCCCAGAAACAAGTCATACACATGAGGAGATGTAGGATCACACATTTGCCTTCCCGCGATCATTTGAGGTACCTGAAACCAAAACTAAAACTGTAAGCCCGAAGCTTAGTGAGTTCCCCCAAAATACCCATACACAACAATACCGATATAAACACAAACAACATACTACGGGTCCAGTCAACCATCGGGTTGGAATACCCCAGGCCCTTAACTGTTCGATTGGAATGCCAACATACTATGGGTCCAATCATCCTCGGGATGGAATACCCAAGGCCCACAACCAACAGGTTGGAATGCCCACATACTATGAGTCCAATCATCCTCGGGATGGAATACTCACGACCTACAACCATCGGGTTGGAATTCCCAGGTCTATTGGCTTCCGTACAAAGCAGCCAAGCCTCAACAACTAGTCAAACTTGTGCGCATATAACACATAACCACATAACAATCTATAGACAAACAAACCGATCTAACAGATAATAACTGCACATAACATCCTATTTACTAGGATACTGATCTAACGAATCATAATAGCACATACCATCCTATCTACCAAGATACTGATCTAACAGATCATGCAATACTCAAGCATATAACAATCCAAAAAGGGTCGGCCTTGGTGCTTTAGACCCTTGAGCATAGTGAGGAAAACTCACCTCACCGTCACAAACTCCACCACCTATTTTCATCATAGAACCATATTCGAATTTCCCAAAATTCCCTATAAGTCAACTAGTCAACCCTTGGTCAAGGTCGAAGTCAATGGTCAAGGTCAACAACCCATGTTGACCCGACTCATCGAGTGCAATCCACCGACTCGTTGAGTCCTTCCTGAATTCGAGAAGTCGTGAAATCCACCATCGACTCGTCGAGTTTCCCGCAACTCGCCGAGTTCATGCATGTTTAAAATTCGGGAAAACCCTAGCTGACTCGCTGAGTCTTCCTACGGACTCACTGAGTTCATGCAGAAACCCTTGCATGACAATCTTCATCGGACTCGTGGAGTTAACCATTCAATTCGTCGAGTCCTTTGAGTCTTTTCTCCATTCAGATGTTTTTAAGCCATTCCAAAGCTCCATAACGTAGATCTAAGCTCCTAAGGCATACTTCTTACATAAAGTTGCAAACTTTACGTACATGCAAGGTGTAAATGGCCAAAATCAAGCTAGAGAAGAGGTTCTAAGTGAGGATAAGGCATTATCTTGCTAAAGGCTGGAACTTTATGACCATAAGAACCAAGATGAGACTAGATCTGAAGTTGCTACTTCAAATCATGACCATTACCAAAAATAAGCACCAAACAAGCTAAAATGGCCCTAATCTTAACATAAAGAGATCTAAGTATGAAAAGGTCAAGTTACAACCTTTTTACCTCAGGCTAACTCCCAAAACGATGTAGATGGCAGATCCACTTCCTCTTCTTCAATCCAAGCCTCTAAATCTTTGAGTTCTCTTAATGAAAGCACCAAAACACACATTAGTTCCTCACACACTCAAGAATGGAGTCTCCATTGATTAGGTTTTCCTTTTAGCCGTCAACAAGTGATATGGAGGCTGAAAGAAGGAACTTAAGGCCCTTTAATTAGGGTTTTCTCATTCCAGCCCCCACTCGTCGAGTCTGTCATCCGACTCGCCGAGTTGGTCACTTAAATTTACGGTCCAACCGCGTTCCACTCGATGAGTTAGGGAATCCAACTCGTCGAGTAGACTTTTCAATATGAAAGATTAAGACTAAAATTAATATGTGAGAGTCAGGGAGTTACAATCCTGGTAGATAGGATGATGCTATGCTTAGTGATATGTTAGATCCGCCTGTTATTTGTTATGGCTATATGTTTTCCCGTAGCATGTGTTTATGTAGTGTGGTTAGGTTGAGACTGTACTACTTTGTGCTGCCAGTCAACAAACCCTGTAATATTTATATCGATATGTTATATGCCTGTTATGTGTATGTCGATATGGTTGTGTGGTTAGGTTGCGGCAGACCTGCTTAGTACCGAAGGCCAACAGACATAGGGTATGTCGGTTAGACTGATGGCCAGTAGGGCGTACCAGTCAAGCTGAACGCTTGGAGAACGATCAAAACAGGCTGAAGGCCCTGTGAGGCGGACCAGACATGCTGAAGGTTCTATGAGCGGCCCAGACAGGCTGAAGGCCCGGTGAGGCAGTCCGGACATACTGAAGGCTCTTTATGCACGTTGTTATTTGTATATGTTATCTGGTTGAGTGGTTGTACTTTGGTGGAACTCACTAAGCTTAGTGCTTATAGTTTTGGTTTATGGTTTAAGGTACTTTAGTGGATCATGACAAGGTGAAGACGTGACCGTACACATCCTCGCGTTTTGGAGTTATGAACTCTGGGAAACTCTGACAATGTGAATGTTTTGAAAACTATGTTGAAAAAGATTTTGATTTTTAAATAATGTTTTGGGAATAACTGTTTTTGTAAACACTTCTATAGAAAAATAATTGTTTTGAAAAGTTTAAATTTTATGAAATTTTTAAGATGTTACACACCATTATTTTGGGAGTGTGCAAAAGTGTATGCTATGAAGCATATACTGTGTGGCCATTTTCTGATGTTCATGTTGCTTTTGGTTCAAAATGTGAGCATTTTCTAAAGTACATAATTGTATGTGGAATGTCAAAAAGATGCATTGCTATGAAGCATTTACTATGTGGGAATTTTGATGTTTACAAGAAGTTTAAGTTGATTTTGTAATTCAATCTTCCACTTTGTAAATTGAGTTGTTTTAATTTATTATATATTTCTATTCGTACATAAACTCCAATTGTAATTACATGTTTATCCTCTTATTTTGAAGAAACTTGATAAGTTATAAATATTAACATCATGCCATGTGTTTCTAAGCTATGGTTTATAAAATGTTCCATCCAATGATATGATAATTGCTTAATTTTATCAAACATTGCATGTTTGGTGCCCACCATATCTCATCTATTTAAGGTTCAAAGATAGCCACAAATTTTGGTGAACCTAATGCTATCATACATAATAATGAGTAAACACTTTAGGCTTCAACCATTAAACACTTTAGGCTTCAAGCACATTGCTACACCCCTTTTTATTACTACAATGGGGTTTAAAAAAATACTTATTTTAGACAAATGATTTAAAAAACTAAACTATTTCAGTTAAATTTCTCCAAACATTATCTATGTCTTTCTTTTTAACAGTAATTTCCACGAGTTTAAACCCAATCCTAATTCTAATAAATAAGTAGAACTCTGCCACGTGTCAATCTATAAGACCTCCAAAATAGAGTTTTCCCGCTCATTTTATTCATCTATATTTACGTAAATGCCATACAATCCAAAATCAATAATTCCGAAAAAATCTGCAAACAAATATGTTAATCAATCTTCAGATTCGAAAAACACGCATTAATTTTGAAAGTTTGTTTATTTTGATTGCAAATTAAATCCCTAAAAATCTGCAATATTTATCTTTTTCAAACGTAAATAGCATTCATACGGTTATTTTCTTTTTACCATTCTGCTCCAGACGAATTCTGCTCCATAGTAATATTTGCAAACGTATTCTTCTTCATTCTTCTTGATTCTGCAACGCTTCAAAAATTATAATATCAGGTTAGTGTATTAAAATATCAGCATTACTAATATTTCTAACCTCTTAATTGTCTGATTTACCAGTTTCTATCATTTTTCATTTTATTAGTGATGTTCTTCTTCTTCCTTTTGCTAATTCTTCTTAATCATGTTCTTCTTCTACCTTTTCAGTTTAAAAGACGTAAATGTTAATGAAAATGATTACAAAATACGAAATTAGTAATAAAAATGAGAACTTTATTTTCTTAAAAAAAAACTGTTCTTCAAAGCTTTAACTATTACAATATGTTTTTTTTTTGTTTTGCTGTTTCATTTACTTTGATTTGCTGTTAATTTAAAAGGTTGCTAATTTTCGCCCCAATTCCAAAATCAAATAACAGATCCTTCGTATGATTCATTTAATAACCAATGCTTCTTTTACTTCAAAATGACCATATTGCCCCTAACTTGATAAGTATTTCATATATCGCAATTAACAATTAAGACAAATCAATCAATCAATCAATTTGTATAATAAAAATGCGAAATTCTTAGCTTTCTTCCCCAATTCGCATTCTACTGTAAAATTCACATTCTTCATTCACCCTCTTTCTTCGCTTGTTCCAGTCATTTTTTTTTAGTTCATTCGCATTTGAGTTGTTTGTCTCACCAAATACGAAATGAATATTAACCATAATCACCTTCGCATCTTTAACCCCAATCCATACAACCTCATATGCGAAACCCAATTTTGATTTGTATTACCAAATGCGAACATTTTTGCTTTTACACGTGAACTGCATTTGACTCCAATATGCGAACATCTTTAACCCAATCCATACAACCTCAAAGCTTTAACTATTACAATATGTTTTTTTTGTTTTGCTGTTTCATTTACTTTGATTTGCTGTTAATTTAAAAGGTTGCTAATTTTCCTTACAATTCTATAATGATTAAATTTATTGCAGAAAATGGAAATAGGAAATAAGGTTTACCTAAATAACATTGACCAGATAGATGAAAAATCGCATATCAAGGTTCGGGTGCTTAAAATTTGGAACTATGTCAGAAATAATAAAGTTTGTTCCATTGAAATGATCATCATGGATGAGGAGGTTTGTTGTATTTGATATATTTTTTATTCATCATTCAATATTAGACATGTTTCATGAACATAATAATTTTTAATTTTTTTTTAAACAGGGTACACAATACCAAGCTCGTGTCTTCAATCAGAATTTCTCCAGATTTCGTCATCTTTTAAAGGAAGATGAAAGTTATATAGTTATAAAACCCAATATGGCTGCTGTTACTAATGGTTTTAGTTATACAGGTCATAAACAGACCTTAACTTTGGATTGGAAAAGCATCCTAAAAAAATGTGATGATTTCTCGGGTCCGGTCAATGGATTTATGTTTGTTGACTTTAATTCTATCATAGAACAAACATGCCCAAAAGACACATTCTTTGGTTAGTCATAAAATATTAATAAAATCATTTTTTATCATTTGTTTTTTTGGTTATACATTTTATTATTTAAATATTACGAATTTAATCCTAAACTTTTATTTTTTTGTGGTATCTGTTGTGTAGATGTTATTGGACATATCGTGTCATTTAGGCCTCTTGAAACTTCAAATCCAGTACCATCCAAGCATTATATAAAAGTCACTCTTAGCAACCTAGAGTGAGATTATATTGTATTATTTATTTATTATTTATTATCTTTAATTAATCACAAATTAATATTAATATACTATTTTATGGTTTATTTAGTTCTGTACATCTGAAGGTTACTATTTTTGGAAGTCAAGCATATCAAATTTCAGAATACCTAAAAAATAACCCGACTGTTAATTTTGTTGTTATCGTGATGCAGTTTTTGAAGCTAAACATTTGGAATGGTTTGTATTCAGTCTTTATATATAGATGTTTATAATTACTGTTTTTATATAAATTTTAATAATTGGATATACATTTTTTACAGGTCTTGGTGAAGCTAAAAGTCATTTTGAAGTAACGAAATTGTTCATAAATTCTGACATTTATGAAATAAATGAGTTTAAAAATAAGTTAGTTTCCAATTGTTTTTTATTTTTTTATAATGTATTTTAACTTAAAAAAAACACAAAACCTAATATTCATGAATCTAAATTAAACATTACAGGTTGAAATGTCATGACAATTTCGGTATAACTGAAAAAAGCATAACTACACTTCAAAGCTACTCTTCTTCATATACAGATGACTTTAAGGGCAATTTTCCATTAAAAACAATCTGTGAGATCACCGAACCAATTAAGGTATATTGCATTATTTTATATGTTTTACATTTTATTTTTGCATAATTTATTTTAATAATTTTTACATTTTATATGATACAGGAAATGAAGTTTTTATTAGTTGCTTCCATTGTTAATATAAGGCAGAATCTACCATGGTATTATGAAGCATGCAAAAAATGTGGAAAAAAAGTTATCCCTGTTCCCAAAACCAATCATTCGTATACCAACCCTGAGGGAATTTCCGAAACTATGGTTGTCGAGTGTACAAATGCACAATGCAAAAAATCTGAATTTCAGTCAGTTATAAAGTATAGACATATTTATTTCTATTAATTTTGTCAATCTTAAAACAACACTAACAATGACATAATTATTTTTTGTTTTAGGTATATAATTCCAATTAACGTACAAGATTGTACTGGAACCATTGGATTGACTCTTTTTGATAGGGAAGCAAGGAGGTTGTTAAATATAAGTGCCTACGAGTTGAAAAAGATACATGATGCGGTATATTATTCATACCTTTAAAATCAGAAAACATTTACTTAATTTTTTTAATTTATTAAAATATATCTTACAGGCCGGAGACAGTGATGCCCTATTTCCAATGCAACTTAATGTGTTGAAAAACCGCAAGTTTGGTTTTGTTGTAGATATTACAGAATACAATGTCAACAACTATAATAACATCTACACAGTTCTCAGAGTTACAGAAGATATGTCCATTGTTTGTGAATTGGAAAGTAAAATAGAACTTATGGTATGTAATTTTTTATTGTTGAAAATTTACAATTCTTTAATGTTAAAGTACATAACGATTAACATATTTCCATTTTATTTTTTAGAGTAATCAATCTGTCGCCTTAAATCAAGTTGCTTTGGAATCCGATGATGTTGTACAGCCTGTTCAAAAGGTTTTTCATTTTATTTTATAAACTTTTAATTATATTAGTTATTTTTTTTAGGAATCAAACATTTTTTTTTTAAATTAGGATGTGATCTCACAAACAGACGAAAGTTTTACACCCTCAACAGTTGATAAGTCAACCGCAACAAGTCCTTGCAAAATATCAGGTGATTTGAAGCGCAACCTCCAAGAAATTTATGATGTTGATTCTGGATATGATTTAAGTTCAACTAAGGCTAAAAGAAAGTCAACCGCAGAGGAAACTCCACTCTTGATTCCAAAAATTGAAAAGTGAGTTCTATCGGTTATAAGACACATTTAATATATTTTGATCATTTGTTTTGGTTATAAAGATATTTTAATTGCTTGGTATGATTTTTATTTTGGGGTATTTAGGATGTCAAATATTATTGGTTTTGAATATTTTTGGATACTTTTATTGTTTTAAATTGGACAAGTTAGTTGATTTTGGTTATAACTCAAATAAAATATATTGCCCCTAACTTGATAAGTATTTCATATATCGCAATTAACAATTAAGACAAATCAATCAATCAATCAATTTGTATAATAAAAATGCGAAATTCTTAGCTTTCTTCCCCAATTCGCATTCTACTGTAAAATTCACATTCTTCATTCACCCTCTTTCTTCGCATGTTCCAGTCATTTTTTTTTAGTTCATTCGCATTTGAGTTGTTTGTCTCACCAAATGAAATGAATATTAACCATAATCACCTTCGCATCTTTAACCCCAATCCATACAACCTCATATGCGAAACCCAATTTTGATTTGTATTACCAAATGCGAACATTTTTGCTTTTACACGTGAACTGCATTTGACTCCAATATTGAACAAATCACATTTCACAGTCCTTCTTGACTTCGCATTTTCTTCACG